TTCATCATCCCCTTCGCTCTCATTTCCATGCAAAGGTCAACCTCAAAAAGGAATTCAAAGCCCGCCGGTGGTGCCGTCGAGACGGTGCGGAGTAATTAAAACCGATAAATTAAGGCTATAACCCCGCCCAGCCCTCCGCATCGCCTTTGCGCTCCTTCTCGCTCGTTTGATCGCCGCCGCGATCGGCGTCCTCCGGCGAGAGATGTCTCGGCCTCTCCACGAGGGCCCGCTACCTACCACTGCCCCCCCCCCAGCCCCCCGTTCTCGTGGCCGCCTACGTTAGCGCCAAGCGCCGTTACATAGATTAGCGAGCATGCATGTGAGGCAGTCCCAGCTGGAGCGGTGGGCGTTCCCTCCGGCGGCGCACTTGTTTCACATCACGATCGCCGCACTACTAAAGGACTGCCAAACGGACAAGCCGGTGTCGGATAATTCGCCTTCCTCACGAATGACATGTTAGCGATGAGAGCCTGTATGAGCTCAATATTTGCAGACTTGACTTTGCGAAACGTTGATTTTGTTTCGTCAGCGTGAACACAAACGGACGCATGGGATGACCTGATTGAGCCGCTCACGTCGGCCGGTGACAACAGCGCGAAGCTGTTTGATTCGTAGCCCATTTGTGCTAGTTGCGCGCCATCCTCTCCTTCAAAAAGCCGCCACGCTGCACCTCCAAATTCAATTTCGTGCTGCTTTCTCGCCTCTTTTTTTTTTTTTTTTCTGTTTTCAAGCTTCCCCGGAGCGTTCCTCGCGCTCGACATCTCGCTTACAGCTTGTGTGTGCTTTGCTTCCAGCAGAGCGGTTGGAAGGAACTGGGAACGCGGCAGAGTTCTCATATAGGATCTCCTGGGATTGGCTACCTGATGAATTGAAGAGATTCTCGGTCTCAGTGAAGAGAAAACAAAAAGTAGTTCGTGAAAGAAAAAAAAAATCCCACAGAAGTTGTGTCAACGTCAATGTGATTTGATGTTTCAAAAGCACTAATCACAGGTTTGCCCGGAAATCACGCCAAGATGCTGATCAGACGTTCAGTAAATGCTATGAAATTGTAGCGCGCATTTTGTCTTTTGGATTTGAAAAAGGCTCCTAGAGGATGATGGGGCCGTTCTGTTTGTGTTGCTGAAAAAAAAACTGATGCGGATCAAACACAAACAAGCTCTTTGAAACTGTCATTCACGCCTTTTGTCACATCTCGGCTGGATGACTGTCATGCACTTAGTCAGCCAATCCTCCATCAAGGCTCTCCAGTTGGTCCACAATGCCGCCGCTCACCTCTTGACTGGTGCTCGTAAGAGGGAGCACAGAACTCCGACTCTGTCCTCCCTTTACTGGCTCATTTGAAACTTCTTTTGAAGATCTTACGATTCGTTTTCCAATCCTGAAATGGCCTCGCTCCACCTTACCTCTCGGAGCTCCTCCGCCTTGGCCTTGTGCCTCAGGTCCGCGGAACAGACCCTGTCCGAGGTACCGAGAAGTCAGCCGAGGCTGCGAGGAGGACGGAGCCTTTTCCGTTGCTGCTCGCTCTGTTTGGAATGAACGTTGGGCAAGCCCCCTCGCCGCCCGTCTTTAAAACCCGTCTTAAAACTCAGTTTTATTCTTTGACTCAGCATGGGACGTGATTTTTTAGTTTGACTGTTTTTGTACTTTCGACTGTCTTCGTTATAAATGGATTGTTATATTGTTTCGTGCTATATGAATTGTTTTTGCTCCATGGATCGCACTTTGTATACAGCGGTGGTTGTTTTCAAGTGCTCTCGAAATACACTTGAGCGGAGGAAATCAGACAGGCGAAACCCAGTATGTTAATTCCCCCGCTCAATCTGAATCTCTCCATCTATCGACTTTCATCTTTACCTTTGTATCATGCGGCTGTGTAGCGAATGAAGTGGCGAGCAAGTCTCAACAAAGGCCAAACACATTTTTATTTTGTCGGTGGACCAGGTCAGCCACTTTGGGGAACTTGTCATTTGCTTGAGCGAGAGGGAGAGAGCCAAAACCCTGACAACTTTTAATTAAAGCACTGCTGTGACAGACGGTAATTAAACACAAAGAGAGGCTCATTTCGAGAAGAAAAGGCAGCGAAATAAGCTTCCTGTCAAAATAAAAGCGCTGATAATAAAAGACCGGTGGGGGAGCGACACAAAAGGTGTCAGGTTGCGATTTGGCGACAAGCCGTCTCATAAGTTGGATTCAATCAATGCGTCGGGATGCCAAGGCGAGCATCCGCAATGAAAAAAAAAAAAGATTAAAAAAAAAAAAACCCTCGAACAATACAGTCGGCATCATGAGGACAGAACGGATCTGATGTCGAAGTAAACTAACGAGCGTCATGTTGAGCCAGCGTCAGTCAGTCAACAAGGGAGCGCTTAATGGACTCATCGTTCACGGCGGCCAGGCGGAATAAATGTCACTGTTGGCATATCGGGGGAGGGCGAGGGGGGCGAAAATAACAACTCCAGACGTCACTCACACGCCCACCACACCCCCTCCCCCCACCCCGCGCGCTTGACAGTGGATTGTTCCATTCTGTCATCACGACATGCGACTGATCCACTGATGACGAGGTGCAACCAGGGTTGCGCCCAAATGTTTGATTTGATTATTGGCAAGCCTGTCACATTTGTAGATGAGGTTCCCTCCCACCGAAAAAAAAATGAAGTTCATATCTACACTGAATCATCTGTTGTGTCTGATGCATCCTCCGAATCGATTCGCTTGAATCATCTGAGTCCGCGACGGTCCTTGTGGTGCATTCGCTGACTCGATTCAGTGAGCCCAGTCATCGGAATGTGCCATGTTTCCCCCGTGTGCCTGCCAACGGAATCACCCGCGTCTTCACCGTTTCCGTTGTATCCGTGGCCTCGAGTCACTCTCCCGATTGATCTGAACCATCTGAGCTTCCTCGCGAGTCTGCTAACTCAAGTCCGTCACTCAGCTGGTCGTGTTTACGGTGCGATTGCTGATTTGAGTCAATCGAGCAAATCATCGGAGTGTCTCCAGTCAGTTCAATTTGAATCAATCGCTCGCTTCAAAGGAATAATCCACAATCTGCAGCGAGTCAGACATACTCACGCCAGTCACACGATTCAACTTTACCGTGGCTCTGAGGATTTGGTGACTGGAGTTACGAGAGTCCATTGATTCATTTCAACTGGCGAACTGACTTAAATGGGCAGACTTACCGGAAAAGCTACAGATTGACATGATCGTTCACTGACTCCAGCGAGAGGAGTCTGCCATAGTTCTAATTATTCAGCCCACCTGATTCAACTGAGTCTTTTACAAAGTAAGTCTGAGGTGAGCCCACGAACTCAAGTCACCTGACCGATTTCACTGAATCATGAGTCAGATTATTTGATTCACTGACTTGATTAGCAGACCCATTGCCACGTCGGGTAACTGACTCCAATATGCTAACTCGCTGCAGACACTGCTGATTTGGCTCCTCAGGCGAACCCTTCGTTCAATTAAAAAAAAAGAATAATAATAATTGAAATCTGCCAGCGAGAGTCACAAAAGCAAATCATCTGGGCCAGCTTTGTTTTCACTTTCACTTGAGTCTGATATTTGGAGTGCAACCGTTGATTCGAGTCACTCTCCCACATCAAGTGACTCGTTTTCCAGGGAGTCATTTTTTTCCGAGTCGTTTTCCATGACTCTGCTAACTCACTTTTTGTGTGGTCAGCATCAGTCCACAAGTTGACTCAGTTGATGTCAAGTAAATGGAGACCTCAGACTCGTGAGTCCCGATTCAGAATGAACATTTGAATCCTGAACCTGGGTCCGACCAGTTCAAGTGGACATTCAGTCCTTATTTTACGGCACAGTCCCAGTTTTGGGGAGTCCCTCGTCCTGGACCACCTGTGTCAGAGGATAGCGGGGGATTGGATAGAAACATCCACAGAAGGTATCAATAAATATGAGAGAAGATCGAGTGTCTGTCATTTTGTTTGTAAGAGCTCCGCCTTCATCTCGTCCTCCCGTCGTTCAACTTGGCTGCGGGAGGCAATCTAAACGAGTAAAAGAGTTTGCATCGCCGCGCCGAGTCTCATCATATTTTACGGCGGATTAGCGGCTAATCTGCGGCTAATCCCCGCGAGGAAGGTAAACAGCTGAATGTCAGCAAGCGTCCTGTTAAAACATGCAAATTACAAGGAGCTTCCTCTGTTTGCCATTTAGCCTGTCCTCCCCGTTTGAGAATATGGGGGGAAAAAAAAAGTTTCGCGGTGGCCACCATTTGCATTCTTCTCACCGCGCCGCATGTCAACATGTGTGCTTGCGAGACGTTGAAGGTGAATAATTGGACTGTGTAAAAGCCGACTTTCCATTCAACTTCGCTTTACCTGCGGGCTTTACTGTATTGCCATTCAATGGCGCAATTGCAGCCACTAATGGTTTGAGTTTTACCTCCGGGGTTCTTGGCTCACCAGGATACCCGCCACACACACACCCTCCCTCCGCCCCACTTGTCGCTTGAGACGATTCCAGAACTCAAAAGACTTCTCAGGTCTCTCAAAGGCTCTCTGGCAACCTCGGATCAAAATCCACAACGGACAAACGGTTACAGCACCCTTCAGGTTTTTTTATTGTCTGGTTGAAATTCATCTGTTTTGTGAGTGGCGGGCACAAGCGGAGGAAGGTGTGGGGTCTCACGTTAACCGGGGTCAGAGCAAGCGCGGTGCCGCCAAGCACCGCCTCTTTTGCATAAAATGTCCGATTTGAATGCGTTCTGCCATGTTTTCTGTGTTGCTGTAGACTGGCTGCGGATTCTCTGGGTTGGTCGGAACGCGGCCCGCTCCGGGGCCATGAGTAGCAGCTGGTGGGAGCGTCTTCAGAACCTTTGCATGTGGAACACCTAAAATGGGAACGATGCTGGAAGCCGCTTTCTAAATCGTTGCAGAGACCAGCCCATCCTTTCTCGCGCCTCGTCGCGGCCCTTTTGAGATCCTCCAACCTCTTGTCTTTTTTTTTTTTTCCCCTCCCGATTTTCCATCCCAACAATGGCTCTCCTTTATCTCCTGCTCCTCCCCGCGTTACTGTTCCTGCGACTGCCTACGGTGGTCAGCGGAGACTGCTGGCTCATCGAGGGGGACAAAGGCTACGTTTGGCTGGCGATCTGCAGTCAGAACCAGCCTCCGTACGAAACCATTCCCCATCACATCAACAGTAGTTGCTGTAGACTGGCTGCGGATTCTCTGGGTTGGTCGGAACGCGGCCCGCTCCGGGGCCATGAGTAGCAGCTGGTGGGAGCGTCTTCAGAACCTTTGCATGTGGAACACCTAAAATGGGAACGATGCTGGAAGCCGCTTTCTAAATCGTTGCAGAGACCAGCCCATCCTTTCTCGCGCCTCGTCGCGGCCCTTTTGAGATCCTCCAACCTCTTGTCTTTTTTTTTTTTCCCCTCCCGATTTTCCATCCCAACAATGGCTCTCCTTTATCTCCTGCTCCTCCCCGCGTTACTGTTCCTGCGACTGCCTACGGTGGTCAGCGGAGACTGCTGGCTCATCGAGGGGGACAAAGGCTACGTTTGGCTGGCGATCTGCAGTCAGAACCAGCCTCCGTACGAAACCATTCCCCATCACATCAACAGTACGGTCAGTGGCGCTCTCTACTTTTATGATCGCTTCAACTCTGATTTTCTTTGAGTTTGTTACTATTCTTTGGGTAAGAGTCCTGTCGGAACCCCGCCAAGTAGTAATAGAATTTAATGATGGGTCACTGCAAAATCTCCTTCTTTTGTCGAGATGGGGACCTATGTGTGTACTCGGCCGAAGTCTTGCCTGATCGAGGTTCGAGGGTTGGGCCTGATTGAGAGAGGATACTCGCTACTGGGATCTTTTTCTTGACTGATGAACAAATTCGGGACTCCCCATGCGCTTGGCCCAAATCACCTGGAATAGGCTCCAACCCAAGCATGATTTGACCGAATTAAAGGGAATATTAACTCACTCGAGCTTGCAAAAACTCTGAACGTTAGATCCCGTTCAGTGTATCAAGTCGAATTTGTGGTCCAGGCTGGGTTCAAGGGTTTAAGTCGCCTAGTCGCTCGGGCCCCTCGAAAGAGACTCCATAAAGAGGTTCATGGACCCCCTGATTAAAAGGTCACTGTAGGTGATTGGTTCCTGACAATGTTCTCGAACATATTTGGCTCACAAATGATTTGATCGGATGTGCCGTCCAGGTTCACGACCTGAGACTGAACGAGAACAAGCTGAAGGCTGTGCTCCTCACCTCCATGTACCGCTTCACCAACCTGACTGACCTCAACCTCACCAAAAACGAGATCAGCTACATCGAGGACGGGGCCTTTGCCGGACAGGCGAACCTTCAGGTGTTGTCCTTAGTGCTCGTCTCTCTTGTGCGGTTGTTGTAAAGAGTGTATGAGACTTGGGTCTCGTGTTTCTCTCAGGTTCTGCAGCTGGGTTACAACAAGCTGACCAACCTGACGGAGGGCATGCTGCGAGGTCTGGGTCGGATGCAGTGCCTCTTCCTTCAGCACAACCTCATTGAGGTCATCGCCGCCAATGCCTTCTGGGAGAGCCCCAGCCTCAGTAGCCTGGATCTGTCATCCAACAAGCTGGCCCGCCTGGACCCGTCCACCTTCACCGTCCTCAACCGGCTGCAGGTGTGCGAGCTGGCCGGGAATCCTTTCCACTGCGGCTGCGAGCTCTACAGCTTCCTTACCTGGCTGGAAGCCTTCAACAATGTCACGCACACTTACGACCGCCTGCAGTGCGAGACCCCCCGCGAGCTCAACGGTTACCCACTCCTGGGCCCCTCGCCCGGACACGGGAGGAATGCCAGAGTCCTCCTTTCCACCAGGTGTCAAGACGGCGTGATCATTCCGGGAATCTCATCGACCGGGTCGGAACTGGACGGCTCCGGCATGGGTTTGGACAACCCGGACCCCGGCCTGTATCACCAGCCCAGCTTTTCGTCCACGCCCGATCCGACCTACAACCACCAGATTTCCATGAAGCTCCAGACCGTGTCGCTCTTCGGCGCCTCCGTGGTGGTGCAAATCCCACGGCCCTACAGCAAGATGTACGTCCTGTCGCAGTACAACCACACCTTCGTGGCGGACATCATGCCCCTGAAGAACAAAAGGGAGGTGGTGACGCTGGATAAACTGCGGCCGCACACCAACTACACCTACTGCGTCGCCTCGGTTGGAAAATCCCAGCGCTACAACCACACCTGCTTGTCCTTCACCACGCGGGCTGTGGGACCGGCGGACCCCCGCAGCAACCCATCCACCACCACGCACTATATCATGACCATACTGGGATGTCTCTTCGGTATGGTCATCATACTGGGCTGTGTCTACTATTGCCTCCGACGGCGACGCATCCAGGAGGAGAAGGAGAAAGCTTTGAGCGTGACCAAAACCATTCTGGAGATGAGGTATGGGAGCTCTTTGTTCGAAGCTTAGGGTCAGAGCCCGAAAGTGGCTAGCGGCTTGGTTATCGGCTTGGTTTACATTGGCCGCTTACATTTGTGTAAGACGAGTTAGTGAGTGAAGACATTTCACGATCAGTTCTCCAAATTCCAAATCCAAACCATCATAAATGTAGGCAAGAAGGCTTGAAGACCCAAAAGCGGGTGCCCCAAAAACGTTTGAGTTGACATTGTCATGAAGGTCATTCAGTTTCACTTGAAGTAGGCAGATTCGTGTACCAGCAATCAGTCATGTTCGTGGAATCTGTCATGCATCATGAAATGGGACATTGTCTCACCCTTCCCTCAGGTATGGCCCAGAAGCGGCAGCGGCAGTGGCCAACGACCCAGCCGCCATGCAGCGCCTCCAGGACCAGGCCCACCACCAGCATCACCACGGAGGGGCGGCGGGCAGCAAGCTGCCCCCGTCGGCCTCCTCCAGCACCGGCATGCTCCACGGCTCGGCCAACACCACTTCCTCCCGCCTCTCCAGTTTACCACAGGTGGAGAAGATGGCCAGCGCCTTTTCCGAGGCCATGGGCACCAAGGGGAGCTACATGGACGTGAGGACTGCCGGAGGGGCCGGGGAGGCCCGAGACGGGGAGACGGTAGCGCTGGGGCCAGGCGGGGAGCTGGTTTTGGATATGCGAGGTCCTGGAGCCGAACACGGCGCGGACGTTGCGGAGGATTCGGATGACGACGGCCGTGGCTCGGCGTCTGAGATCTCCACCATCGCCAAGGAGGTGGACAAGGTCAACCAGATCATCAACAACTGCATTGACGCCCTCAAACTGGATGCCTCCGTTAACGCCGCGGAGAACGCAAATGCCCCACAGCAGCCTCCAGTTTGCATGGCGCCCCACGCGCGCAATCTCCTGCCCATCGCTTCAGGAGATCAAGTCCTGGCCTCTTCCCCCAAGGTGCACCCCAAGTCCCATCCTCAAGCTCAAGCCCCTCCACACCCTCAAGCTCATCCTCCGCTACAGCAGAAGCCTCTTCCTCCCTCCATGGCCCCAGTGCCCCTGGTGATGCCCCTGTCGGAACGACCAGGTATAAGCGGCGGGGGGTTTCTCTCCCCTCCCTACCGCGACCCTCCCCCGGCCAATGCGGTGCGGCCCCTTCAGAGGCAGTTGAGCGCCGACACCACCGTGTCCAAGAACCGTTGCGGAGTCCCTGCCGCCAGCGGACCGGTCAAGAGCGGCCGGTTGTTCAGCGCGGATGTTCCCGAGAAGCGCGGCGAACCTCCCAAATACCCGTCGGAAAAAAGCAGCCCAGTGCGTAGCGGCGTAGGGGGCTGCAACGGAATGGGGAGCGTCAATGGGGGCGGCGGTGTGAACATGAATGGCGGTGGCGTGGCATGTAGTAATGGTAGTGGAGGTCGAGGTGGGGCATCTGGTCTTGGTCCTGGTCTGCAGCAGCAGCAGCACCACCACCACCACCTGGAGGTTCAGCCGGATTACCACAGCTCGGAACACCGCCATTCCTTCCCCGCGCTGTACTACGAGGGTGGCAGCGAGTCGCCTTCGCCGGCCCAGAAGGCGTCCTTCCTCAAACCGCGAGGGCGCTCCAAGAGGGATGCTACGGCCGCCTACTCGCAGCTGTCGCCCGCCCGCCACCACCACCACCACCACTACAACTCGGGCTACTCCTCCAGTCCCGAGTACTCGTCGGAGAGCACACTGCGGATCTGGGAGCGATTTCGCCCGTATAAGAAGAACCCCCGCGAGGAGGCGTCCTACATCGCGGCGGGCCACGCTCTGCGCAAGAAGGTGCAGTTCGCCAAGGACGAGGACCTTCATGACATTTTAGACTACTGGAAGGGTGTTTCCGCACAGCAGAAGCTGTAAGCCGAGTCGAACGGTATCAAAGGAAGGTTGGATGCCAACAGCCGACTCATGTGGGTGATCATGTAGCAGGACGCGTTTCCTCTCAGTTCCCCCATTGGAGGGAAGGTTCAGAGTGTATATTTTCCCTCGAGAATGTTTTGATGTGAATTCCACTGCCTCCCGCTTGGCACTTTGGTCCTGGCAGGTGCCCAACACTGATGAGCTCAGTCAGGGTTGTCATTTTTGTCACGGGCCACATTGTCGTTTCGGGGCCGGTAGGACTGTGAAAACCATCTAAAATGTCGACACACCTTATCATATGCCAATGAACCCCCCATATTCGTCCTTGGCCTTTTTTCAGCTTTCGGGGGGGAACTGTTCTCCGTTACGCCCCAAAGCACTCGCCGAGCCGCAGTTTTTATCTCCCACTGCCCCAAAGAAAAGGCCAACCTGAGACAACGTGATTCAACCCACATTATTGGAGCACCTCAAGTGCTGCAGTGGGTCGGATCTGGTTCTCGTGTTTGACACCTTCAGGCTCAACAAAGGTGTTTAAGAAAATGCTTCATTTCTTTCTTTCTAACCAACTACCTCATTACCAGCGGGACGGCTATCGCTCGGCCAGCGGCCGCCCTTTGCTCGGCTTAAGGCGGCGTTCTCGTTCTCGCTTCCCCTCTAATTCCATCAAACCGCCCAAGAATCGTTCCGCCGCGCCGCCAACACCTGCTCCTCCTACACAGGCGCCATTTAGCCAGATAATGAGCGAGCGGGATGAGGAATTAGCCGTGTTTGTTGGAGAAGACTCGCTCGCTCTTGTGCGGCGGCGAAAGAACAGCAGGCGAGAGTTATCGGGCTAATTGTTCTCGCTGGCAATTAGGGCGCGTATCGATCTGCGAAACAGACCTGACTGCGAGTGTTGGGCATGTCGGCACCGCGGAAGTGTGTGTGTGTGTTGTATGCGTGTGTGTGTTTCTTTCTTAGCTAGGTAGAGCTGCTCTGCATACTGCCGGCAAGCCCCATCAAAATGATTCATTCGTGAGGTCGGGCCCCGCCCACCGAAATGGCTTTTGACGGATGGATTTTCCCAATCAAATAGCCGACTCCCAATTCAGGGTCAGCGAGGAGTTCTTGGGGCTTTTTCTTCGATACTGCTTTGATAGACATGGCTGTCATTTTTTGTGGCTCTGGACATTGATTTCTTTTTTAAATTGATTTTTTTTTTCCCCCCGGGCATCCTTATGTCAGGTTTTTATCAATTAATTTGGAACCTTGGCGGCCACATTAGGTGGCGCAGGCCTCAAAAACCCCAAAAATTTGTCTTGAGTCGACCTTTTTCTGATTGGGACTCATTTGAGTGAATTCCTTCTTGGGTATTCGCCCAAATGAAGACAAAATAAAAGCCCTCCAAATGGGCCGTGCGCTCTTCAGATTTCTTCATTCGTCCTGTGACGATTGGTATCTTTGCCCAAGTTTGCTCTACTTACGGTTAAATCAGAATTATTATTCTTTTTTTTTTTTAATCTTCAAAATGTTCAATTGTAACAGCACGCTTGACCTGCATGTGACCGACCGCATTGGGCAAAATCTTAATTCTCGAACACACAAATCTGAGCTTTGCTTCAAAGCAATATTTTGACTTGCTGTTCATTTTCCTTGACAATTTTCAAGCGTCCTTTTATGACAGACGAGTCCACCTAAATTTCGTGTTTATTGTCCAAACTGGTGCCAGCTGCTTTTTTTTTTTTCTCGCTTCCTCGTGATGTAACTGATGCTTTCATATTTTACAAAGACTCGTTTAACGTGGCTGCTACGTTCCAACACGCAGTGACGAAAACACAAGACTCGTGCATTTTAATCCTGCCGGTTTGTTCAAATTTCCTACCGAGTAGGAGTTGGTTCAAGCTTTGGCATTTGCCCCAAAATGGTCGATTCCAGGTTCAATTTTGGATATTTGAGACTGTTTCGAGCCTTCTGTCATAATAGAAGTGGCCACCAAATTTCGGGTCGATTGGTGAAACTCAAAATTGGAGCCCGAAGCGTCGCGAAGGTGAAAGTGTCACTCTGCCTCCAACACGAACAACGCAAACCTGCTGCGGACCAAAGTGCTCTCAGGGATGCTTTGATTGTCATTTTGGCTTTCTGGGGGATTGTCACTTTTTCTCTGACTGCTCCCGTTATGATGATTATTTTGATTATTTATTTTGATTTTTTTTTGTCACGTTTGCCCCATAAAAGAAACAATCTGCCAATCACGCTCAGCTCAGCTCACAGAATGACACACGAAGGGCGGATGGCACAGCGCCCCGGGAGCAGCGAGGAAAACGCAGAAAGAAAATTACGACACAAGTGTCACAACCCACTGATGTATTAAATCGAAAATAGGTGCCCCATCTGCTCCCTCTCATGGGGCACTGCAATACCCGCCCCTAATCACCGCTCGCTGTTGACTAGGGGGATCTTGTTTTGCAAAACAATGCTCGCAAATTTTTTTTTCCTGCCTGTTTATGCATCGGGCATCGTCGGGAAGACGAGTCAAATGAGCCGCAATTGTTTGTTCCACGCATGACAGGAACACGCCGCCAATGCGGTGAGAACTTCAAAATAAAATCTTGTGAGGTAAAGCAGTGCCCAAGTTTGGTCCTCGAGAGCCCCGATGCAGCCTCTTTTCGATGGCTCCCTCCCCCGACACGCCTGAATCAAATGAGCAGCTCGTCAGCAAAAAAAAAAAGAAAAAAAATTAAATCAACTAAAACGAAGTACCGGAGCCCTCTGCATCAGGCAGCACGAGGAAAGTAAATGTCTGAAGCACGAGCTGCTGATGATAGGTTGCGTTCAGAAAGTAATGCAAGCGCTTGGGTCAACCTTTTTTTCTTTTTACTTCAAAATGACTTACCTTAAGCAGAATCCCGCGGCACAACTGTAGTCTAAGTTCCAATCCTGGTGGGTTCATGCCGCCTTGTTGTGGAAACCGAAAACGAATTGCCATGATTACCGGTCTATGCCTTATAAATTGAAGATGAAGAAGAATCGTAACACCCAAAACCCCCCCCAAAAAAAAAACACCCACCCCAAAAAATAATGGAACATACCATCTTTGAAAAGTGAGGGAACACTGCTGGAAAAGAAAAAAAAAATCCCCATCCGATGCTTCTGGCGGGGCTCTGTGCCCCTCGTCACGACTCTGTATTAAATATTAAACGCAGTCTGGCCAAAGTGAGGGAAAAACTGGAGCTGCAGCTCCTACTTTGGTGCTTAATCTCTTGATTTTCGCTTGAAAATGGCTTCTGTGAAAAAGTGACCTCCCTCCAAATTGCCTGTTTGTTCCATTTGACTCGCAAGAGGTTCAAATGCTGGAAATTGGTGAATGTTTTGTACCCGATGGTTGGCCGGCGGGTCCTCGCTGGTGTTGACACGGCAGCCCTCTACCCACCCCGACACCACCTCTTATCTAGAGCCCCCCTGCCCCCCTCCCACCCCGGCCTGGCCCACCGTTATGCCTCCTTCTCACCTTCCAGTAAACGCGGCCGCTCGTTTATCAAGCCGTGACAGACAACGTGTAGCGTCGCCATCCAATCTGAGGCAGACCTCCTCCAAGGCCGACCGCCGGCGAGCACCACAGCCCGCGCGGGAGTCGTAAATGCCCTCGCACTCGTAATAGATTGATTATCTGGGAAATGGCCACCATTTCGGAATATGCCAGAAAAATGCCTTATGTGTGATGGGTAAATTCCCCGCCCCTTTTTGACCGAATGCAACCCAAATCAGTCTGCCACCCCCTTGATTTTCAAACACGGGTCAGTATGACCCGCCACCTAATCAGTGTTAATCGTGGAAAGAGAAGAAAAAAAAAAACGGTGAAGGCTCTGGTTGACGATGATGATTTATGCCCGTTATTTTATTGTAATGTCAAATTAATCCTTGAAATGTTTGTACATTTCACCCGCCGTCGTCATTAGCGTGCGAGTTTGCCGAGGCCGACGTCGTTCCACCGCGCGAGGTTAGACGTGATTAACTGGGATTGAAATTAACGATGCCGCTTTCTCTCGCCGAGCTCATTAGATGTCCTCGCCGCTCCGGGCGAGTGGACCTCCAAGGGCTTCTTTTGACTTGATGATGACACGCTTTCAGGCCCCCGGAGGGGGCGGGGGGAAGGCACCGCCGCAACCTTGATGCGTTAACCCTCAAGTCTGCTCGACGCCACGCGTCAAATGAAAATAGATGAGTGTGACCGGACGCGGCTGTTCGTGCCACTCGTGCCGGGGAATGGACTTGCTGTGTTCGTTGTCTCGACAAGTGTAAAGCGACAAAAGGGGCTTGCGAAAAAAAATGGATGGCATTTAAAAATGTGGCGATGAGCCAATATCAGCGGTGAAACATCAATCCGTGATTATTTTGAATGTTGAAACATGGAATGACGAGCGGCATGCAGCAGACACGTGGGCGAGCGCAAGCAACCTTGCGAACCCGCCAGTTATGTGCCGCTTATCGGAAGCGAGCGCTGCAGGCTGACGCTAATCTGTGCTTGCAGCACAAGGTCGTGCAAGTCTGCTGACCTCTTGGCTCGCGTCAGGGCCTTCACTTGAAAGTGGCTCTGGATTTTCCACCAGCAGAGCCCCCGAGTCGCAGGCTGAAAAAACTCAGGGCTCGGGTGGGAACGATGTTTCGCCGCGCCACTATTTTCCAAAATTTAATCAGGGAACAGATTATCTTTGAAACAAAATGTTTCCGAATCTGGAAAAAGAAACAAAAACCGAATGCGATGCTTGATTTGAAAGCTTCCAAGGCACGAAACCTCACGACAGAGTTGATCAAGGCCACGTTTTAAGTGAGTTTCCACATATCCCTGAATCTGTCACCCCCTCCCTAGCATTGATCTTTCCACGCTAATCTAGCGAGCCCGCTCCCGTCAAAGGCATCGTCACAAAGCCGTCGGATCGATTCCCAGATGGGTGGGACTTTTGTCAAGAGAGGCGGAATATTCTCCCGCTTTGGCCTTTTGCGCCATAACGGCAATCAATTAGCTTTGAGATTAGCACCGCAGGCTACGCATAAATGGAGCCTCCTTCACGAGGGAGGACGTGGTGGTGCGTTTACCTGCGTGCGCCGAGCCCGCCAAGGCTTTTTTTTTTTGGTCTCGACGTAAGATTAGCGCGGTGAATTCCTAAAGCGCCGTGTCGCGACTTTATTCACGACACTCTGAACAGCGGGGTGGTTTTATCGGGAAGGAAATCGTTTTTATTTCAAGCGATCCACTTCACGTTTAACGGCGTCGCTCTATAACATTTTACGGCGTGCTGAAACAAAACACTTCGATGTTTATTTAGTGGCCGTGATAAAATCACAGTCGTATTTTAGGATTCAGTGGAGGTGCACCAGAATGCCCCCCGCCCCACTAAAAAAAAATTGAAAAATAAAAAAAATACACCCCTTGCTGATGGTGAAGTGAAACTTTGGTGTTGGCAGGAACAATTACTGACGTTTCAAATAAAACAAACTGTTAGCAACTGGCTTTACCAGATCAGGATTTTGTAGCTGATGACCTGAAAACCCGAGTTTAGAAAACCCGACAAGTGATCGCTCGTCCGATCAAAAGATGGACCCATCCGTCCAATCTCTTGGAATGACTTGTTTGTTTGCCGTATTGGGACAAGCCCCTCCCACGAATAGCCCACATTTTTGGTGTAGTTTACGCCCATTGAAATGGGAAAAAAAAATTAAAACCAACCCCCCCCCCCCCAAAAAAACACTGATAAATAGCATACACGGAAAATGTAAATGTGTGTTTTGATCAATGGCTGGCGTCATGGATCGATCATCAAATTCCAACAGTTGATTCAATTCAACACTCACCGATTTTGCTTGAAGTGGAAAATATCGGCTGATCCAAGCCAACCGCTGCAATACGCGGACAGTCAAGCGGTAATTCTTTCAGTGTAGATGAGAAAAAAAAATCCATTGCATCTTTTCTTTGAAAGAAAGTGGGGGGAGGAAAAAATTTGGAAATGTAGTCCAAATCTAACGGCATCTAAAAAAAAAAAAAACAACAAGAGTGGCATTTTGTCTCAAACTGAAGAGCAAATGCAGATTTAGTCAGAAACAACTTCAGTCTTTTCTTTTTTTTTTTTTCCAGGAAAGTGCAGAATTGATTGCTCGTCTCCTTTTTCGGGCGTGAAGTGCAACGGCAACTGTTTGAACCGTGGGAAGAATCCCGCTCTTCATTCTTCGCGCCAATTTGCCGCATCCGCTTCATTTCGCATTCGCTCGTGCGAGGGAAGAAAATTCAAAATGGAGGCTTGATGGCATTTCAGTTAAAAGCAAACCCGCTTGCGGTGATGAAGGATGATCACAGACGCACTCGTGAAAAGATGCTCGCTTCAATCTTTTGATCGCGGGAGAGTGCAAACGTTGATACTTTGTGGGCGTTTTAGGAAAGGCGGCATGCAGACGAGTCTTTTGCTCGTCTGCATGCCAAGAATCACAACTTGAATCTTTTCTTTTTAGGAAAGGGAAACATCAAGAGGTCGTCTTCTTTTCGGGAAACCTCGAGTCGATATTATTTTCATTGAAAACTTTTCTGAGGTGTCCCCTGGGCCCAGGGAACCTTCTGGGCAACATTTCAGGGAGGAAAAAACATGATATTGCACCATATCGTTGACAACACCGATTAGCGCAAACGGCCGGCACTTACGTTTGCGCAGTTTCCAAACTTCCCACTTATTGAAAATATAAATCACCACGAGTGCCGCGGCCGTCCAGGAAACCCCGACCAATGCCCCCACCCCCCTCCACCCCCACCCCGGGAGGGCTGTTGCGGCGGACCCTCCGCGGCTCCTCCGGAACCATCGGCGAGGACTCGCGGCCGCGTCGTTTTAATTGAAGCGCTGGCCGGCTCGACTGTGAAACGCTGACTCGATTTTTTTTTTTTGTTGTTTTGCGGCCGTAAAACATTGACACAAGATGGCTTACGACCGCTTTGAGGATCGCTTCGGCCCGGGAAGATTAACCCTTCCTCTTTTTTTTTTCTTCAACTTCACCCTTGGCAGGTTTTAACGGATCGCGAGAAACCCCAACGACTGAGAGACGATGGGACTGAGGCGATCTGATTGGTATCGCCATGACAACGGGGTCAGTTTCTGTTGTAAACATGTAAAATATCACGTGCCCTGCGGCGTTAACGGCGGACCAAGAGTCCCGCTTTCAAAAGGAGGCTTTGGGAAAATCGACTTTGAGCTCACCCGGGCTTTGGCCGACAAGAGTCTGTCGCGGCTTTTTTGGAGGGGGCAGGGGGGGGGGGCTCTTGGATGATTTGATGGGGATTATATATTTTTTTTTCCAGGCCCAATTCCGATTCCAAAATCATATCACGAATGTTTCCAGTCCATACTTTTGTATTTATAGTGGACCAAAGTTGGCACAAAGTTGAATATTTTGAAGCCTTGGCCCAGATTGTGCCGCGTGGATTTTTTGAAGGGTCGCCTTTGATCTGGACCAGCAGACTCCATCATCAAGAAGCACAGATTTTGTTCCAAAAAAAAAAAATGTGCGTCGACACCACGTTGCTCTCTGATCTTGAACCGGTCGATGGTTTGTTGATTAGATTCGTTTCCGACTCACGACGAAACAAACAAAAAAAAAAAATCCAAGCCAGGCTAATTTGGGGGTATATTTGCAGAAAAAAAACAAACTTCATTTTTTTAAAAATCTTCATTGGTTGATGACATCGGAAATAAGATTAAGAATAATATTTAATTTCTGACTTCAAAAGTAGCTCCTTTTGACTGGTCATCGGTTCGAGACCAAAGAAGCTAACGAGCTCCTCAATTTGCCGTCCGATGAAGTCTGCCTGTCCGGAAAGGTCTTGAGCGAGATGCTCTTCGCCTGACGTGGGCCCGAAGCCCCGCCCTCTCCAAAGCAGACGATCGCATTTGGTTCGTCTGCTGCCGAAAACGATTGACTGAGGATTCAATTTTTTGCCGAAATGACGGCAAAGTCCACAAACGACACCGGACAAGTTTGCACCGGAGTTCAACTGTGACATCGCGCGCAGCGATAAAAACAACCGTT